GTGGGTTAAAGTCTCTACCTTCGGCTCAGGTCATGATCTCAGGGTCCTGGGATCGAGCCCCGCACCGGGCTCTCTGCTCAGCAGGGAACCTGCTTCCTCCTCTCTCTGCCTGCCTCTCTGCCTACTTGTGATCTCTGTCTGTCAAATAAATAAATAAATAAATCTTTAAAAAAAAAAAAAGAAAACTATTACTAATACAACATTTACTAAAGGACACAGTAATAAAAATAACTAACTGGAAGCCTATTATTAAAACTCAATGGGGGACGGGGGAGCCTGGGTAACTCAGTCAGTTAAGTGGCTGCCTTTGGCTCGGGCTCTTGGGCTTCTGGAATCCAGCCCTACATCATCTCCCTGCTCAGCTGGGAGACTGCTTCTCCCTCTGCCTCTCCCCTCTTCATTCTCTCTCGCTCTCTCTCTGTCTCTCTACCCTTCTCTCTCAAATAAAATCTTAAAAAAACAAAAACAAAAACTGGAGTGTGAGTGGCTCAGTCAGTGAAGCAGGTGACTCTTGATTTCAGCTCAGGTCAGGATCTCAGGGTCTTGAGATGATGCCCATGCTGGGCTCTAAGCTCAGCAGAGAGTTAGCTTCTCTCCCTCTCCCTCTGCCCCTCCCCCCACTTCTTTTCTCTGTTTCTCTCTCTCTTTCAAATAAATAAATAAATCTTAAAAAAATAAAATAAAAATAAACTCAACAGTAATTGTATCAATTGTTTACAAGCAGACCAACAAAAGATTCTGGATTATTTTGGAGGATTATTTTATCACTGATACGCCTTAGAATTTGTCAGTGCATGGTCTAATAAAAACTGGGCCAACTTTCGGTCGGTTTTACTTGCTTATATTTTATTTTATTTTATTTTAAGATTTTATTTATTTATTTGACAGAGAGAGATCACAAGTAGGCAGAGAGGCAGGCAGACAGAGGGAGAAGCAGGCTCCCTGCTGAGCAGAGAGCCCAATGCGGGTCTTGATTGCAAGACCTTGAGATCCTGACCTGAGCAGAAGACAGAGGTTTAACCCACTGAGCCACCCAGGTGCCCCTATTTGTTTATATTTTAAATTCTCTACAGGCAGTGTACCCCCTTTTTGCCTGTACTCCTGTAGACCACTCCTTTTGCCCTTTGGCACATGGCTATCTGGAAAACGGACAGTAGATAGAATGAGTAAATTATATACAACGTGGAAAGGTGATGTTATGGATAAAACATCGAGCCAAATAAGGGACGTGGGACTCACAATGTGAGTGAGGCAGGTGTTCAGACAAGACCCCACTGCTCCGGTGACATCTGAGGGAGATGAAGGAATGAACCCTGCTGATAGAAAGAACCATCCGGGCAAACGTGTTGAGAAAGGACCATGCTTTGTAGAGGCTACTTTGAGACAGCAGGCATGAGCAATGGAAACTTGACCCAGGCACAAGGGCCCACAGTGACCCCCTGACTGTATCCATACAGCCCCACAGGCCACCCACCTCAAAATATCCACAGGCCTGGGGTGCCTGGGTGGCTCAGTGGGTTAAAGCCTCTGCCTTCGGCTCAGGTAATGATCCCAGGGTCCTGGTATCAAGTCCGTCATTGGGGTCTCTGCTCACCAGGGACATTGCTTCTCCCTCTGCCTTGTTCTCCCCCATCCATCCCCACTCTCTCTGTGTCAAATAAATAAAATCTTAAAAAAAAAAAAAAGAAAAGAAAAGAAACCCCATACTGGTCAGCAATCACTCCCCTCCCCTCAATTCTCTCAGCCCCAGGCAACCACCAATCTATTTTCTGTCTATGGATTTGCCTATTCTGGATATTTCATATAAGTAGAATCATACAGCGTGTGGCCTCTCTCACTTGGCATGGTTTCAAGGTTCATCTATAGTATAGCATGTATGAATACTTAATTTCTTGCCAAATTCCAGGCCATTTTATGGATGTACCACATTTTATTTATCCATTCATCAGTTGGTGCGCTGTGCTGTTTCCACCTTCTGGTTATTCTGAACAATGCCGTGATGAACATTCACATACAAGTTTTTGTGTGAACATATGCTTTCAGTTCTCTAGTGTACTCTTAGGAGTAGAATTGCTGAGTCATATGGTAACTCTAAGTTTAACCTTTTGAGGAACTGCCAGAATGTTTTCCAAAGTGGCCGCACCATTTTATATTCCCAGAATGAATGTATGAAAGTTGTGATTTCTCCACAGCCTTGCCAACACTTGGTATTTTCCACTTAAAAGCTATTATAGGGGTGCCTGGGTGGCTCAGTGGGTTAAAGCCTCTGCCTTCGGCTCAGGTCATGGTCCCAAGGATACTGGGATTGAGCCCTGCATGGGGCTCTCTGCTCAGCAGGGAGCCTGCTTCTCCCTCTCTCTCTGCCTGCCTCTCTGCCTACTTGTGATCTCTGTTTGTCAAATAAATAAATAAAATCTTTAAAAAAATAAATAAAGTCTATTATAGCCATCTGGAGAATCTAGCTGGAAGAGTGTGTGACTCTTGATCTGGGAGTTTGTAACTCAAGTCCCACACTGGGTGTAGAGATTACTATAGAAAAGAAAATAAATGTTAAAAAAGAAATAAAAGAAATTATGGCCATCCTACTGGATGTGAAGTGGTATCTCCTTGTGGTTTTGATTTGCTTTTTCCTGATAATTAACCGGTTGAGCATCTTTTCATATGTTTATTGGCCTTTGTATAGAATCATTTTTAGAGAAATGTCTATTCAGAGTCTTTGTCCATTTTTTCACTAGCTTATTTGTCTTATTATTATTGAGTTCCACCACTTCGTTCTTTATTTTAGGTACAAGTACCTTATTAGGGGACACCTAGGAGGCTCAGATGGCTGAGCCCCTGACTCTTGGTTTAGGCTGTGGTCATGATCTCTGGGTGGTGGGACTAAGCCCTGTGTGGGCTGTTGCACACAGTGCAGAGTCTGCCTGGGGTTCTGTGGCTGCTTCTCTCTCTGCCCCTCCTCCCTCTCTCTCTCTCTCTCTCTCTCTCTCTCTCAAATAAAAAAATAGGAGTACCTGGGTGCCTACATTGGTTAAGGGTCTGCCTTTGACTGGAATGGAGCCCCATGTCGGACTCTGCTCAGCAGGGGAACCTGCTTCTCCCTCTCCCTCTGCCCCAGCTTGTGTGCTCTCTCTCTCTCAAATAAATAAATAAAATCTTTGAAAAATAGAAAACAAATAAATAAAATCTAAAAAAAAGTATCAGGTACATGATTTGCAATTCTTTCTTCACTCTGGGGGTTGTCTCTTCCCTTTCCTTTTTAAAAAAATTTTAAAAAGATTCTATTTATTTATTTGACATGGAGAGACACAGAGAGAGGGAACACAAGCAGGGGGGGTGGGAGAGGGAGAAGCAGACTCCCTGCTGAGCAGGGAGCGGATGTGGGGCTCGATCCCAGGACCCTGGGATAATGACCTGAGATGAAGGCAGAGGCTTAATGACTGAGCCACCCAGGCCTCCCATCTCTTCCCCTTCTTCATGATGTCCTTTGAAACACAAAACTTTCTTTTTTGGGTGGGGGGGACGCCTGGGTGGCCTAGTGGGTTAAGCCTCTGCAGGTCATGATCTCAGGGTCCTGGGATCAGGCCCCGCATCAGGCTCTCTGCTCGGCAGGGAGCCTGCTTCCCCCTCTCCCTCTGCCTGACTCTCTGCCTACTCGTGATCTCTCTCTCTGTGTGTCAAATAAATAAATAAAATATTTAAAAAAAATCTTTTATAAAAACAAACAAAAAAACCAAACTTTTTTTTTTTTTTTTTTTAAAGTAAGCTCTAGGGGCGCCTGGGTGGCTCAGTGGGTTAAAGCCTCTGCCTTCTGCTTGGGTCATGATCCCAGCGTCCTGGGATCGAGCCTCACATAGGGCTCTCTGCTCAGCAGGGAACCTGCTTCCTCCTCTCTCTGCCTGCCTCTCTGCCTACTTGTGATCTCTGTCTGTCAAATAAATAAATAAAATCTTTAAAAAAATGAAGTAAGCTCTAGGGGCGCCTGGGTTCTTGCTGCTTATAATTAGAATCATAAAAAGAATCGTTCTTAGTGCTCATAATTAGAAGTGGGAAGACTGGTGAAGTAAGGGACTTCTGTGATCTCCCTTGCTAAAATTGCAAACCCCTGCCTCACTTCATTCCTCCGTTCTGCTTCGTATTTCTCCATAGAACTTATCATATTCTAATAAGCTGTATACTAGTGCTTCCTATTGACTGTCCCCAGCATAAGAATGTCAACTCCTCGAGGACTAGGCTTTCCTGTTCACTGTTCTTTCTCTAGTGCCTAGAACAGTGCCTGGTGTGTGTGTGTGTGTGTGTGTGTGTGTGTGTGTGTGTGTGATATCTCTCTATCTATCTATCTATCGGGGGGGGGGATATATATATATTTTTCAGAAATCTGAAAGAACTGAAGAGAGCAGGTGCCGAATCCCCCTGCGCAGGTCACTAAGAAACCCATGGGGAGGGGAGTCGGGGAGGAGGGGCCTGACAATAACGAGAGGGAGGAAAGACCATCTGGATGCTATCCGGCTTGAGGAGTGTGATATGACAGGCTACCAGATGTCATGATGTCAAACGAGTACATATCTGTTGAATAGAGTGAGTGAGTAAGTGAACGGAAGGCTGCATGAATGAGCGAATAAATGAAAGAACGAATAAATGTACTGTGAGTACTCTGGCTGAATCTTCCCTTGGGGAGAAAGGCGGCACGCGGGCTCCTGCACTGTCCCTTGCAGCCGTCAGGGGGCGCAGACAGGCCCGGTCCCCAAGAGCCTGTCCCGGGACCCCGCCCCCCGGGATCCAGGCCCCGGGAGCCCCAGCCGCCCGGCCCCAGCCTGGGACTCCGGGACCGCGCGCACACCTGGACTGAACACGGCTGCGGGCTTTACGCGGTGCAGCGACTAGTCCCCGCGCTGCCGGCGGGGAAACTGAGGCCCGGGCGACTGGGGCGGAGCTGGCCCCCGGGCAAGCCCATGCCCCCGCCCCCGGTCGGCCCCGCCCCGGCCCGTAAGAGGCCCCCTGGGCGCCCGCGGAGCCGCACAGCGCGGCGCGGGGGCCGGGACCCGGAGCGCTATGGCAGCTCAGCGGCTAGGCAAGCGGGTGCTGAGCAAGCTGCAGTCTCCATCGCGGGCTCGCGGCCCGGGGGGCAGCCCCGGGGGCCTGCAGAAACGACACGCGCGTGTCACCGTCAAGTACGACCGGCGGGAGCTGCAGCGGCGCCTGGACGTGGAGAAGTGGATTGACGGGCGCTTGGAGGAGCTGTACCGCGGCAGGGTGAGGCAGGGAGGGGTACGGGGGCAAAGGCGGGTGTGGGGATCGCGGAGTGACACACCCTTCGTCCGGACTCCCTACGCCCTCTGGGTCTCTGGTTGCTTGTGCTGGCCTCCCAGGTCACACAAGGGAACGCGCGCTCGGGGACTCATTGGCCCTTGCTGTGTCCCCTCCCTGGGTCTCTGCTTGTGGACCCAGACACCCGCTCGGGTCTCCAGAGATGGTTGAGCATAGCGGTTGAGCCTATGGGGGGCAAGAAGGCAAAGTTGGGGAGCCAGAGCGGCCAAATCTGGAGAGAGGTTGTGGGGGAGGGTCTGTCTTCAAGCCGAACTTAGATCCGGTGAAGGGACCGGGAGGGTACTGAGACCCAGAGACCCACCGCAAAGGAAGCGACAACATTCACAGACGTGCCCAGCGACGAGTTAGAGCCACTGGTAGACACAGCAGCCACGTACAGACTCTCAGGGACACAGGCTGCGGTCCCCTACAGATCAGCACCCCCAGACACAATAGCACAGGCCACAGGCGTATGCCGACACCCCGCACAACTACACCCACACAAAAGGACTCCGGTTCCAGCTACTCAGAGACCCTCCATGGAGTCATACGCACACCAGAGCCGGGGCAACTCCCTGCGACACGGAATGATTCACGGAAAACCCTCCGTTGCCACCTGAAAGCAAAAGGAAGGACCACATGCAGACACAATGACAGGCACTACAGCTGCTCACAGAAAATAGCCGAAATTACAGCCACACGCAGGCAGAAAACCGCACAAGCTGTAGGGACACACAGGCCTGGCAAGGCAGAGACTACAGCTGTCGGTGGCCACACGGGGCGTGAGCAACAGCCTCGTGTGGGGACGCCTAGGCTACCCATGTGTGTTTCACACCTTCCACTTGAGTTTCTGCTTGAAGTCACACTGAGCCACACACGAAACAATCCCAGGGACATGGGGGTTGTGTCAGTGGACAAACAGGAGGCACACAGATGCTCCTCCGCACGGCTCCAAGGTGACGGAAGGCAGGGCCCCTGATGGTGACACAAGGTCCCAATGTTGTCAGGCACACAAGGAGGCTCCTCTAAGTGGACGGAGAAGTCCAGTGGCCATTGGTAGGTGGCATCCTCTAAGGTCATCCTCCGATGGCGGACATTTTTAGCTGGTGTGACACACTAAACCAGAGCCACATGTCTTGCAGTCCTCGGACCATAGCCCCCGGGCAGACTGCTCATGACGCCCCAGAGCTCTGCACTCTCCTGCTGGCCCTGGCCTTGGCCTTGGCGCTGGCCCCTTGGCCTCAGTCTCTGGCTCACCTGCAGAGCCTCACACAGGCATGCGACCCACTTAAGGACTAGCCACGCCTTTGCTGACAGCCGCCCCCACCTGCAGACAAACCCAGGCCACCCAGCCCTGAGGCCCACAGTGAAGTCTGAAGGACATTGGGTGGGGGAGGAAAAAATCTATAGCCTCCGGGATCTCTTGCTTTGACAGCTGGATTCTGTCCCTCCCAGGGAGAGTGAGGCAGCCTGCGTTTGGCTTTTTGCCCCTGCAGGCTACAGGAGGAATGCCCCTCTGGGCCGCTCAAAGTTGGGCCCATGGCTCATCCCTCTCACCCACTCTGGGGCGCGTTGGTGGTCATCTCTCTGGACCGATTGAGGTGCACTCTTTGCCCTGGGGGCTGGCGGGAGCCCTACCCTCCCTTCTGGTCCTCTTAGGCAAGGGGCCTCCCCCAGCAGGCTCTAGCCGGCCTGCGCCCCTCCCCCACACCTAGTGCTTAGACTTTTCCTTGAAAGGGCAGAACCAGCCCCTCTCCTGAATCCCAGAATCTGACATTCCGAGACTCGACCAGGCCTGTTTCCCTCTATGGGAACTGGGGCCAAGGAGAGAGACCTGTGCCAGCCCCAAGGCTCTCTGGGCTCTGGGGACCCCGGCATCTGAGCTGGTACAGACCGCTGGGCCTCTGTCAACCCATCTGCCACCCCTCCCCCCAGCACCCAGATGTCCCGCGTTGGCGGTGCTGTCCCTGACTGCCACATTGTTGCTCCAGAACCGGCCAGCTGGGCCCTGGGGCTGGTTGAGCTTCTCGGGAGGCCTGGACAAAGTCGAGGGAGGGGCAGGCAAGGGACCCTGACCCCTCCTCCCTCCCTGCCGTAGGAGGCAGACATGCCTGATGAGGTCAACATCGACGAATTGTTGGAATTAGAGAGCGAAGAGGACAGAAGCCGGAAAATCCAGGTAGGTGAAGGGAAAGGCTGCCCTCGAAGCCCCAACAGTAGTCAGCGTGTTTATTGAGCACTTCCTACGTGCCACACACTGTTTCCATTCCTTTCCACTTAACTCATTTAACCCTCACAAATCCTGGGAAGGGTTTAAGACCTCCATCTTCCAGATGAGGAAAGTGATTTAATCCCTTGCCCCGGGTCCCAGAGCTGGGAGTCAAAGCCAGGCAGGTTGCCTGCCTGTGCGTCCTGGCTGTTTAGGGCCTGTGGCTCTCCTAGAGGCAGGAAACGCTGTGTGACCTTCTGACCCTCTCTGGACTTAGAGCTGATCCTGGGGCTGAGTTTCTTAACCCTCCCCCCACTCACTCTGTAAGACCCTGGGGCCATGTTCTCCCCCAGTGACCAGATGGGAAGTGCCCCTTGGAGCCTGACTCCCTTTTGTCTGGTTGCCTCGGGGCTTTGTTGGGGGAGAGAAGGGGGCTGGAGGGGCCAAGGGGCTAGTTGTTTACTATTTTCTTTTTTTTGTGGGGGGCGGGGGTTTAGGGACTCCTGAAGTCATGCAGGAACCCCACAGAGGTGAGTGTTCCTCCCTGCTCTGGGCCCCTGCTTCCTGGTAGAGATGGGGGTCCTTGGGGAGGAGGGAAGAAGCTGCCTGGCCCAGGGGCAGCCCGGGGAACTCTGGGGAGCCCTCTGAGCCGCTCAGCCCTTTCCCCGTCTCCAGTGGTGTCTTTGTCTTCCTCACCCTGGCTTGTCTCTCCCCATCTGCCACTGGGGCCCGTCATCTCCTCCCTACAGAGATGCTCCCCATCTGTGTCTGGCTTCTGCTGGTGCCTCTGCTGCCCCCTCTTTTGGGCGGCTGGTCCTGGGTCTCAGCCTCTTCCCGCCTCTCTCCCCTCCTGCTGCTTCCCACCCTGGGATTCCCTTCCCCACCTCTGCCCCCCACCCCCATCCCTCCAAGCCCTGAAGCTGAGCAGCCCAACCCCTCCCACTTCCTTCCCTGCTTTAAAAGGGAAAAATATTCATGTTTCTCCAACCAGCTCTGGGCTGCCTGAGGGACAAACGTCATTGTGTGTCTGTCTGCCCCCTGGAGCTAAGGCCTCTGTCCCTGGGGATCCTCCTGGCGATCCCTTGGCCTGAGAAACATCTTGTCTCTCTGTGGCTGTTTCTTTCTCTGTCCTTTTGTCTCTCCCTCTGTCTCTGTGCCTCTGGCTTGGTCTCATTTTCTAGGTCTCTGTCTCCCTCCTTGTCTGTGGCTTTGTCTTTCCCTGTGTCTCTCTATCTGTTCCTCGCCTTTCCCCATCTCTGCCTTTTGACACCCCCCCCAACCTACCTTCGGGCTCTTTCACTGCCTGGGAGGGGAGGCGGGAGCAGTAGGGGCCCAGATCAGAGGGGCTGGGCTGGGCAGGGGCAGCCCCGCCTCTCCCTGTGTTCTCAGGACCCCTGCCCTGTCCTCAGGACTTCATCCAGGAGCTGCTGGGGAAGCTCCGAGGGCTCCACAAGCAGCCTGGTCTCCGCCCACCCAGCCCCTCCGGGGACCGCAGTCTGAGCCCCCTCCAGGACCGGGCCCGGACCGCGCCACCCTGACCTTGCCTCCGTGGCCTCCTGCCTTCTCCCCTACCCTCCACACTGTCCTGGCTTATTTGTAAGTTGTATGTAATGGTTCTGTAACAACACGGTGTGCCTGTTTTTCCTCTCCCTGATTACCGTGGACTTCCCCAAGCTTCCCCCACACACCTCGCTCTGTCCTGCTGCATCTTCCCCCGCACCCGGCCTGACAGATGGAGAATCACTCCTCAGCCAGAGAGCATGAGAACAGGCCCTGCTGACCTTGCTCTCCCCCCTCAACCTCCCCTCCCAGGACTCAGCTTGTCCTCCCTTCCCCCTCAGCCTTCCCCAGTGCAGCCAGCAGGGCCCCAGTGGGTGTCATCTGGGGCTCCTGTGGGAATGATGGCCTGTGGTCCTCGTACCAGGGGAGATGCGCGAACCCAGACGTGCCCAATATCACCAAAACACATCATGAACAAACCAAGAGGGCTTCCTGAAGAAAGTGACAATTGAGCCAAGGCTTTGAAGGATGCATAGGAGTTCATGTGAAATGGGTACCCATACTTGAGGACTCTGAACCTTGTGGGTGGAGGGATTGATGTTGAGCCTAACGCAGGGAACATACCAGGTATTGATGGAGCCATCCACCCACCCACCAGGATGGGCAGGTCCTCCAGAGCTGGATCAGGAAGGCCTCTGGGCTGGGTGTTGGGGAGGCCCGAAGGGCTCCAGCAGAGGGGTGAGAGCACCAGAAGTGGGTGGCACCTATTTACCCCAAACTGTGGAAGTATTTCAGTATTTTTTTTTTAAAAGAATTTATTTATTTGACAGAGAGAGAGCACACAAGTAGGCAGAGGGAGAGGGAAAAGGAGAAGCCGACTCCCCGCAGAGCAGAGAGCCTGGTGCGGGACTCGATCCCAGAACCCTGGGATCCTGACCTGAGCCAAAGGCGAATGCTGAACGACTAAGCCACCCAGGTGCCCTGGTATTTCAGTATTTTAATGGCAGGTCTAGTTCTAGCCGCGGCCCTGCCTGTGTGTGTTCAGGAGATGGGGGGCAGGGGTGCTATGCCGGGCTAAGGACTGGGGCAAGGCCAGAGCTAGGGTGTCCCCCCTCCCCCCACCAGAACAAAGCACACCTCACATCTTCCCTCTACTGACTGATGTTGGGGCCCGGCCCCCACCCATACTCTGTGTCACCCAGCAGCTGGATCAGGCACCCATTGCAAGGGGTCTGAGCACTAGTGGGGCAGGAAGGGATGCCACTGAAGGAGGAGGAAGGCAGAAACACCTCACCTGTCCAGCCCTGCAGGTGGCTTTGCGGTCCCTGCGCAGGCAGACCTCAGGCTCCCAGGGTCCCCTTCCCTCCACCCAGATGCACAGAGAACAGATGTGTGGAGAATGGACGTAGGCCTCCTGGCAACCAATCACCAGGGCGCGTCTCCCAGAACTTTCTCTTGGGCCTGACTTCCTCTCACAGAACCTGGTTTTGGTTCCTCATTCTGTGGAGGTGATTATGTGCTCAAAACCCAGATCTTAAAGTCCTGGGTGTGCGCTTGTGTTGAGCCTCTCAGTTTCCTCTTCTGGAAAACGGGGACTTCACGAAGGAAACTGAGGCCCAGTTTAGTGATACTACTTGCCCAAAGTTACACACCTGGCAAGTGGCACCGGGCTTCAGTCCCTAGCATAGGACCCCAGAGCTCAATTACTGAACTCCTATACTACAGTGCTCCCATAAACCATAGCAGTGATGGCTGTGCATTAGTGTCAGGAAAGGGGGAGTGGGGGTAACTAATTCATACTAAATTGTTAGTGACTGCTCACACTCCTGAGATAGCCTATCCAAAAGGCCATACAACCTGACTGAGAACAAGGCTACAACAGAAGCACTGGGAAGCAGCATACCATAGTGGGTAAGAGCATTGACTGTGGGATTCTTGCCTGGATTCAAATACCATCTGTCCCCCTTCCTAGCTGTGTCAACTAGAACAAGTCACTTTTCTGTGCCTCAGTTTCCACACCTATGAAATGAAGAGGATTAGAACAGTACCCATCCCTGGTGGTGTTGCGAGGTTTACATGGTTTAAAAGTACACATCATAGACTAGTGCCAGGCACTTAAACATCGTTATTAATGTTACTGTAGGGAGGAGCTGGACCATTAGCTCCTCCAGCCGTCACCCCTGGCCAGCAAAGATGTGCCTTGGGAACACTGATTCTCAGGCCCTCTGTTGTGGCAAAGCTCCAAAGGACACAGTGTACCCGACTTGCCGTCCTTGCATTTTTGTCCCCCACTTGCTGGGTCACCAAGCTCCCTGCCTCCCAGGGTCTGTGCTGTTTCCCACTTGGCAGCCACAGGACCTCTTTCCCTCCTTCTCGCCTTCATTTCCATCCACTCCATTCTCTGTCCCCCCCTTCCTCTAATTCATCATTTTAAAACATCGATTTCTTGGTATTGTTCTAGGACTTTTTTTTTTTTAGATTTATTTATTTGAGAGAGTGAGAGGACAAGTATATCCTCCTACTTGTGTGGCAGAGGGGGAGGGAGAACCAGACTCCCCACTGACCAGGGAGCCCATGGGGCTTCATCCTAGGACCCCCAGGATCTTGCCCTGAGCCCCCAGGCACCCTTGTTATAGTATTTCTTGATGCAAATTCAAACAAGTGGGAACCTAGATTCTGTCCCACCAACTCCTGTTTTTCTTTCTTTTTTTTTTTTTTTTAAGATTTTATTTATTTATTTGACAGACAGAAATCACAAGTAGGCAGAGAGGCAGGCGGTGGGGGGGGGAGGGGGCTAGGCTCCCCGCGGAGCAGAGAGCCCAATGCGGGGCTCCATCCCAGAACCCTGAGATATGACCTGAACTGAAGGCAGAGGCTTAACCCACTGAGCCACCCAGGTGCCCCCAACTCCTGTTTCTTTTCTTTTTTTTTTTTAAGATTTTATTTATTTATTTGACAGAGATCAAGTAGGCAGAAAGGCAGGCAGAGAGAGGAGGAAGCAGGCTTTCTGCTGAGCAGAGCGCCCGATGCGGGGCTCGATCCCAGGACCCTGGGATCATGCCCCGAGCGGAAGGCAGAGGCTTTAACCCACTGAGCCACCCAGGCACCCCCAACTCCTGTTTCTTAAGGTGAACATTAGGACACTGTCTTAACCTTGTTCATTTTCACGTAACTGTCTTGAGATCTTTCATATCACAACCCCTCCAGAGGCTTACCCCGGCCTCAGGACAAAAGCCAGAGTCCTCCGCTTACACACTCCTCCCTGTCACCTGTCACCACTCTGTCTTACCCCTCTCCCTTCTGTTCTTTGTCTACGTTTGTCTCCTTCCCATCCTCCCTCCCTCCATGCTTTTCCCCTCCAGACCCACAGACACATTTCCTCTGCCCAGAGTACTCTTCTCCATGAGTCCCTCATTCTCCTTTATTTTTTATTTTTAATGTTTCTTTTCTTTTCCAAGATTTTATTTGACAGAGACACACAGAGAGATGGAACACAAGCAGGGGGAGTGGGAGAGGGAGAAGCAGGCATCCCGCCTAGCAGAGAGCCGATACCAGACTCGATCCCAGAACGGTGGGATCATGACCTGAGCTGAAGGCAGACGCTTAACGCCTGAGCCACCCAGACGCCCCCGCATCCTCCTCTAATGTAATCTCAGATACTTGGGAGCTCCTTGTGTAAGGAGCCTCCATCCGTCACTATCTGGTCACCCTGACTTAGTTTCTCCATATAATTTATTACACCCTGACATAATCTATTTTAAAGAGGATTTATTTATTTATGAGGGGGAAGGAGAAGAGGGAGAGAGCGCATCTTAAGCAGACTCTGCCCTGAGTGCAGAACCCAACGGGAGGCTCGTTCCAGACCCGGAGATCACCACCGGAGCTGAAACCAAGAGTCGGACCCCACAATTGTGCAGCCTGGATAGCCCAGCCCTGATATAATCAGTTAGTTTTTTTTATTGTCTGTCTACACTCCTCGACTTTCAGAATATTAGCTCCTTTCCTGCCTTGAGCATGGTTACCCTAACATCTAGAAGAGCGGGCCCCACACAGTAGGTGCTTGGCTCAAGCAGTGCCCCCTGGTGGCCACATTCTCTCCACCCGCAGGAGGTCTCCTAGCTAAGTGAGGCCTCAGCGCCCCCTCGTGGCTATATGCGGACTGTGTTTAAACTGCACCCCACAGGTTGGTTAGGTCGGAGCTGGCAGGGTTGTCAGCCGGAATTTAATTACAAGAGCAGGCTCCAGAGGCAGCTGCTATAAGACATTCATCCATCTCATATCAACGCTAAGGGCTTTGCTAATTAGGATGATAAATAGTAGAAGTGGGCTCTCATCAATGATATGACTGGTATTCACAATTGAGGTAAGAGGGCTCTTAGCAAAGAGATTATCATGGTTACTAACAGATCAACCTACAAAGATCATTATCTCAGTAACACTGTAATAACCAACTAAAACATATAACTTTAGGGGTGCCTGGTTGGCTTAGTCGGTAGAGCATGGGACTCTTGATCTCAGTAAGTTCGAGCCCCACATTGGGCACAGAGATTACTTTCAAAACATTAAAATAAACTCGGGGCGCCTGGATGGCTCAGGCGCTGAGCGTCTGCCTTCGGCTCAGGTCATAATCCCCGAATCCTGGGATCAAGCCCCATGTCGGGCTCCCTGCTCAGCAGAGAGCCTGCTTCTCTCTCTCCCCTCTGCCCCTGCTTGTGTTCCCTCTTTCGCTGTGTCTCTCCCTGTCAAAAAAATAAAAGAATAAAAAAACCAAAAAAACAAAACTAACAAGAAAATGTCAATAAAGGATACAGAAGGTAATCTGAAAAAAATGAAACGATCCATGTCCTTGGATAGGGTATCTTCATATTATCCACATTTCAGTTCTCTCGAAATTCGCCAGTAACTTTAAAGCAATCTTAATAAAAATTCCAGATTTTTTAAAGTACTTGATAAACCAACTCTAAAATTTATATGGAGGAATAAAGGTATACAAATAGCTAAGTTCACATTAGAGAGGAAAGGGGAGGGTCTTGCTTTACCAAATATTAAGACAAACTACAGGGTGCCTGGGTGGCTCAGTGGGTTAAGCCTCTGCCTTCGGCTCAGGTCATGATCTCAGGGTCCTGG